GACTATGGTGTATTCAATTTGTGAACACTTACTTTCAATCAGCTAGGATAGAACAACAGTATCTTTCTCACCACTATAAATGAGCTGTTTTATGAATTTTGAAATGCTTGTTTCACTGAGTGAAAGAAAGGCATCTTTATCCTAAGTAGCAGCTAAGGAGACTGGTAAAACTAAAAAAAAAAAAAAAAAAAAAAAACCCCAACCCTAAAAAAATAATAATTAAAAAAAAATCAAAAAACCCAACCCACCAGTACAAAGTGAAGGCAGTCTAGGTCATTCCAACTGATCACAGGAGTAACTAAAAAATATTTGTAATTGCAACTATGTGCTATCTTGAGCCAGCTGCTTATTCTAACAGGCATGAGGTTTTCTGCTCAAAAAGCATTAATAGTATGTGCCTTTTTCTAGAAAGGAAGGCTCTGCCTAAGTCTTACTGTGTCAGATAAAAAGTCCCAAAATAGACTTTCCAACCAAAGAAAAGTGTTTTATTCAGATATTCATTTGGATATGGCAGTGATGTTAAGAACAGCTATTCAAGTAGCTAAAGTAAGCCCTTCAAAAGAAGTCACACAGCTTTGAGACTTGAACAAATTATTGTATGATCTCATCCAAGAGATCTAAATAGCTGGAACATCTGCCAGAGTCACCACCAATTTATTTAGCAGAGTTCATCAGTAGTTCATCAGCTCTGTTTGCACAAGCAGGTGCCAGGGCAGTCAAGGAGTCCTGTCCATGACTTAAAAAGAGGAGAGGGGGAGGAGAGTGGAACAGAGGTGGGTGATTTTACTGTCTAACGTGGATGTACATTAGCAGGAATAAAGTCCCTGTCAAATTAGGGCAGTGACTATTACTGAAGGAGAAGTGTGGAAATTCTTTTTCCCAGAGAAGTATTACATGCACAAGTAACTATATTGTTAAAATTTTTTATTTGTGACAGTAAAGAAACCATTCAATACCTGATTGACAACACTTCTCTCTCCTGAAAACACTCATATGGTATCTGTAGTGTTTCTCAAGTATCACTGGATTGTTCATTGCATTAAAGTGTAAACAGCTCCATTATTAGGAAAAAAAAAAAAAGAAAAAGAAAAAAGAAAGAAACATTTCCATTGCTTACTCCTCTGTTAAGAAGTTCCCAATAGATCTTTAACAAGAAAGAAAAAAAGTCAGCTGGATTTTTACAATATAATGTGAAACAGAAAACTGACAGCTGGTTTTGCATAGTTAGCCCAGAGATTTTTAAGCAATTGCCCCACGCAAGTCTCACCTGCCCTCCTCGCCCCACAAAGGCATAACATCACAGCACCTTGGAAATCAGAGGCACAAACTTGTTTTTGTTTTACAAATAGGGCTGTGCGGTACTGTGTTTTATTAGTTTAAAAAGAATCTGTAAAACATAGGATTATGTGTTTGTAAATTATATAGCTACAGTTCTTTTTTTTTTTACACTGAAATTTCAAAAGCTGCAACATCAGTACACACCAGTGTTATTCAGATACTTTATTGTCCCCAACCAGTCTAATCAAAATCATGCTGTGATAAAGTGATTGCATACACTGATAACCAAATCTCTTCAGGTGTTGAGTTTCTTCCATGTATAACTTTGCTGTTTAAAAAGGATTAAAGGGCGAAACAAATAGACAAATTCTTCTTCCAAAGTTACCTAAATGAACACAGCAATATTGTACATTTGCTATGATCTTCCATTCGAAACCTGCCGTACTTCCTGGTGGTTAACGAGTATTCTGCGCACAGCCCTAGTTTAGAAATGGCAATTTAATCGTAACACTTCAGTTGAATTTCAAGAATCTAAGGCATTCTGCCTTACAGCTTAATTTAAAAATACCTATACAGGCAAAAAACCGTTTTTAACCCAACATAAAAAGGACAACAGAACTTCGGGCCAGGCAGTATTCTTTAGCTGAACAGAATGACCAACTGGAAAAGACTTAATACTTCTATAATATCCAGAAATAGAACTGAAAACCAGGGTTTATAACAGCCCTGGTGACCTGCATGCATTAACTGCACTTCAAAATATGCAAGAGATTTAGGAAACAAGTATTTTTTCCTATTTTAATTTTTAAAATCTTGTATTTAAAATACAATCAAATACCCGTATTGCAAATTTTACAAACATTCCACTCATCATCTGACTTTATGGACAGAACTATATTGCTTTGTTAAAATCTAGAAACTCTAAGTATATAGCGTATGTATATTCACGCAAACTTAACACTTGAAATTTCAAGTACGATGATAGTGTCAAAATAAACAACTACGACAGTTTGATCCCTTTGGCCAAATTTGAACACCCAGGGAAGTCCAAACCTGACTGCAGAGCACTCCAAGTTTTATTTCAATGGGAATGAGTTGAAAAATAAAAAATATTTTCATCAGAAGTTATAGAAAATACCCTTAAGATACTAGCACAGATCAAAACTGTTGCTAAGGTTTTCGCCTTTGTATTGTCACCAAGCGTCATTTTAATGCTGTATAAAGTTAAAGTAAGGTGGGTTTTTTTTAATTTGTGGATTTCAAGAGCCCAAATAAACAATACAGAACAAGTATGGTTGTACAGAACATCATCAGAACCGTTCTTCCAGAAGCTGGTGCAGAAGTTCAGTTGTCCATTACATGTGGATTTTAAAACAATACAAGACACTTTAATAATCAACATTCATTCACAGACTTAAGGCAACTGGTTCATGAAATCGCTGCTTTCATAAATGCAAACTAATGACATGGTTCGTCTCGCGTACAACAGGTCACAACCGTTAAATGGTAATGTCTCAGTGGGGTTATTTATTGTCTAATTGGAAGATTGTTTGGTCTAATGCTAGCGAGAAAGTCTTTGAATATTTTCAGCCATTCCTATCATACCTGCACAACTAACTACAACCTGAATACTTCCCTGCAAACTGTATTTGAAGCCTAAAAGCTACAAACACAGTTGAAAATACTGCTCAGAGAACAACTTTTTGGCAGCTTACAGTTTCGTTACTCTGAAGTCAAATACAAAATTAAACAATCTTAAACTGAAAATAAACGTTAATGGACTAACCAGAATCCATACGTCCTTTTTTTTTTTTTTTCCCATTTTTTTAAACAACGTAGGTTTTAAGATTTGACAGTTTTGTCTTTTGCTGTGGCACAGAATTATACAGTACTAAGGTAATGCCAACTGGTAAGAAAAGAAAATGGTGATGCGGTACAGACTGACGAGCGTCACGGGACTGCCTCTAACATCCCTCGCTACGGACACAGCGCGCAGCTGGCGCACAGCTGCACTGCAAGGGGCAAGTCGTCTTTCAGTTTTATACTGTGCCTACGACAACCTACTCACCGCCTGTGTAGGCTGGCCTGCCCTTCTATAAACGAATTTGTTAAGCTGCTTCACCAATGTTTTAGACAAGGATGACAATCCTAGTCCAGAGCAAAAGATTTTTTTCCAAGTCGTCGAGACTTTGAGAAAAACAGGAAAGGCAAAGGAGATCGACTATTCAGAATTTAGCACAAGGCTAATTAGAAGCACCAACCACTCCATTTAGTTTTCTCTGATGACAGCCAAACATAGCTGTAATTTTTACGTCTGTAGATTTCTGGTGCGGAAAATAATTAAAAGGTGACACTGGAAAGGAAAAAAAAAAAAAAAAAAAAAAAAAAAAGATAGGCGTGCCGCCTTCTTCAAAGGCTTAAAGTATTTAGAAGTTATTCTTTTGAAAGGTACCTATGACACTGCAGAAGATGCTAAGCAGGTTCTCAGATTCAGAGATGAGACTTACTCAACTCCAAAGCCAGAGGACTGCTTTTAGTCTAGGCTAGCTTCTGCCCTTCTAGCAACACTTGATAAAGCTCCCAATCTGTGCCTTACACCTCGAGGAAGAAGAAATACAAATCAGAGATGTGGGAAAAATACTTTTTGTGATTTTATATACCAAAGAAAGGAGACGGCTTCATCTCAATTGAAAAAGAAAAAAAAAAAAAGAATTATATATAAAAAAAAAATCCTTTGCAGGTCACCTTTAACTGAGTTCTCTGGTATATCAGATACTGTAGGATTAGTACATAGGGGTGGGATATGAAGCCTGCATTTTATTTATTGCCCAAGTTTGCAGCCTACAGAAAATGTTTCATAGCACAGGCACAGTGGCAAAAACAGTATAACAGCCGATGGTCAACTCCATTTGGTGAGTATACAGTAGCAGCAATTAAAAGAAAAAAGTACTCCAAACAGCTCAATACAGATCCAGCTTACCCAGATGGGTTTTTTTAAGAAAAGAATCTTAAACTAATAAATAGACCTCCTCCCCATTCTCCCAAGATAATGGTTTTCCAAAAAACGAGAGGCATGGCAGTTGTGCGTAAGCAGAGACAATAGAACTTCATCTGTCTAGAAGAAAAGGTGCTTTAGATCTATTAGCCACCTTATTTTCTCAATTCCATCATTCCCTAATACTCAAACAACTGCAGATATGTTCAAAACTGTGCCCGAAATCGTATCAGTGAAACAACCATGTAATTAACCCAAATCACCCCTCCCACAAATGCTTAAACCTTCTGAGCATGACAAAATGTAATACAACTTAATGTCATTGTGGAGACAGGAACCCAGCATCTTTGTTTCAACTTTTTCCTTTGTTATATATTACAGTGCTCTATAAAATTTTTCCTTTTTCCTTTTAAAGCATTTAGACAATACAAGACTAAAAGATGTCTGGAAATACGTCTTATACAAAAATGAATTTTTATCTTAAAATAACATTCAAAAAGGCACTTCATTCTGTAAGAAAAAATTCAGAGTCAGGTCAACTGCTCTAAGCAGGGGGGTAAAATTGTCTGCATAGTGGGAGGGGAAGAAAGGGAGAGAAATTCAACTGCTGAAATACAAGCTTCTTTTTTGGCATGTTTTAAGAAAAGCTGATCCAGTAAAAGATGTCCATTTATGAAATTCATTAAAAGAGTCCCATTTAATGTTTTTTTTTTTTTTTTTTTTTTTCCTTTAAAAAAGTAGTCTGAACACATGACCTTAGGAGTCAGGCTTCTGAAGGCTTAATAGCATCACTCATGATTGTCCTTCGTGTCCAATGTAACAGGAAGATCAAGAGTAGCACTTCTGACAGGGGTGACCTCCCCAAAGCTTACATTTGAAAGAGCTGAAAAAGATGGAGACACCCTCTAGCAACTGCAATCTAGTAGCAGAAGTCAGTCAAAGTTAAGGGCTACCTGTTGCAGAGTTTATGAAGCATACTGTAAACTTCTTCCTCTTTGCTTAGTCCTTCAAAGAAAGGAATAAGATCTAGCAGCTCTGTGTCTGTCATGTCATCAAACCAGGACTGCACAGGCACCTGAAACAAAGCAACCAATAAATATTAAGATGACTTTATGATGTGAAGAACATGTGAGTTTTGCCTCAGTAAATGTCCTGTAATACTCACTGCCATCACGAAAGCAAATGGGCTTAAGCTGCGCCAGGGGAGGTTTAGGTTGGAAATTAGGAAAAATTTCTTTACGGAAAAGGGTGGTCAAGCATTGGAACAGGCTGCCCAGAGAGGTGGTGGAGTCACCATCCCTGGAAGTGTTCAAAAAACGGGTAGATGTGGCACTTTGGGACATGGTTTAGTCTAGTCTACCCTTGATTGGCTTAGAGTAGACTTGGTAGTGTAGGTTAATGGTTGGACTGGATGATCTTAAAGGTCTTTTCCAACCTAAACGATTCTGTGATTCTATGATCACAGTAAGGCAAATTGCTAGTCATAAGCATTCAAGCGGAGTACCAGGTTCAAGTCTACATTTTCTAGTATGCAGTGTCAACCCCAAATCCAACCGCGAAACAGCTGACACGCAGCTGGCCTTCTCCTGCACGTCCAGGTAACCTACATGACCCAACACTGGACAGCTCAATTTGCTCTGCCTCCTTGATATTCAGAATAGACTGGAAGGAAGATACAGGTTACGAAGCTGTACTGACACTTTATTTACAGGCAAATCTTTTTTTCCCCCCTCTAAATATTATCAGTGTGAGTCACTAAACATAGGCACGCAGCAACCTTCTGGCATGAGGTTGCAGAGGAAATACTTAAACAGCAAGTACAGAACAGTTCTCTGATTAAAATATAAGACCTTGAGAGCGGGTTCAGAAAATAATGCATATAATAACACTTCTGAAATACGTGGGCTGGATTTGGGGAAGGAGTCCTGTGTATCTTCCCTATGGAAGTATACTGAGGTCTTTAAAGACTATCTTGGATCTTATTACAAGCTCTGGTTTCTGCAGCAACTCAGTATTATCAGTTAGCTAACAGCACTTTTCTGTACATGATTAAACCACTCTGACAAGGCCCTTCATTTCAGCTCCCAAATTTCTGCAGCTCATTATTTTCTTGGCACTGAATTCCAAGATACCAAATGACAATCTGGATCAGGTTTTTCATTTTAACCATGAACATAAATTAGAGCTACAGCTCCTGCTTATTATAAATAGCAACTTTAAACCATGTGTGGCACCAACCAGAAAAATGTTTTCACCCAATCATTTAGGGCATCACAGTATTAGGATCTGAATTCAAAAGCTGATTGCTGCAAGATAAATAGCTCACGTTAAAAAAAAAAAAAAAAAAAAAAAAAAAAAAAGGCTATTCTGGAGAGGCAGGAACATGCAAAACAATGTTCCCGATAAAAATTTCCTACATTAATTTTAACAGTTCACAAAAAAGGCAGCCTAAAAACATCAAAGGAAACACTGCACAGCCCGGTAGTTTAAGTCAGCAGATCTAAGGCGAGTTTCAGCTTGCTATCCTGGCAGCTACAAAACAGATGTGAGCATCTGTACTGAGTGCAGCAATGGATGGAGCAAGTGCCAGACCATTCCATCATAGTTTCTGGAGCTGATATGAAACACAGTGAAAATCCGCATTGCTCCTAATTATTCTCCCTTCAAGTACTGTCGCCTGCCTTTTATCTTTATTCCTAAAACTTGATGAACTTCTTGACTTACATTTCTAATTATGAAGCGAGTTATCACAAAAATACTTAAAAGGAGAAGTGTAACAACACAACAGGATCCTGATTTTTTTCTTCCCCTTAGTCATGAATACAGAACTCGGATAGTTACCAGTAAAGCATTAATTATCTTGCCTAATAAAGTATTTTCATTTACATGATGAAAAAAGATGGAGTACCAAAAGCAGTTCAAGTAAACCATCCTTTCTGTAATCACCACTCCAAAGAACAAAAACTGTGCTGGGGGGCAGCTTTGCTTTTTAGATCTAGGTTAGTTATTCAGGTTCTACATCGCTTGGTATTTCTCAAAACTGATGGACTTGATACCAAAAGCTAAAACTGAAAGCAGACGAACAGTCATGACTGTGACACACTGTCCAGATCAGTTTGCCCTAGTCCTTTACCATCTGGCAGTGAATACTAGAACCTACCTGCAGTCTAAGAAAATACAGAAACTAATACAAGTTAGTGTCCTGAAAGGCTATTTTCTGAATCAGAAAGTCTGGGGCAAGGACCGGAAAGATAAAGTTACGCTTGAGTACTTCAAATACTAAGAATTACTTACTGCATTTTCAGGATGGAAGATGTAAGATGCAGGAGAATTATCTACTATAATAACTTTACTCAGCTCACGTCCCAGTCGACTCAGATCCTTCACATAATTTCCTCGATGGAAAACACAGGATTCTCTAAAGAGTCTTGCCCTGAACACACCCCAGCGATCCAGTAAGTCGGCTACTGGGTCTGCATACTTAAAAATAGAAGTTAGAAACATGAAGTTAGCAATGTGCAGATAAGGCTAATTCACAGAACTATACAAAAAACAGACATGAAATAATTTCAGGTAAAATACCCTGACTTCATTTTCTTCCTTGCTCCTTGTTAATTAACTTACATGCCTGCAAACCTGAAGTGATTAATAGAGAGATAACGCAAAAGTAGGATGGTTATCTTTCTATGGAAGGCTAACTTGCACTCTAATGTTTTCTGTGATTTATCAATTAGGTTTTATTCTCAGGGCTAACTTACAGTTACCCAGGGCATTACCTAGAACTTGATGGATCTAGAGATCTCACCTAAAGTTACCATAAAACCAGCCAATGCGAACAGAACATCTATATGAAGCCGTTTCCACAGCTGACTCATTTCCACATGCCTCAAGACAAACTGCAATGAATGCATCTGAGCGTGATGCAGCTTTTTCAAATGATGCCCTTGGAGTGACTGGGTCAGTAAGAATCTTAAGATTACCAAATTGCATAATTGGGCCATAAAAGATCAAAGATGTTATTAGGAAAATTACCCATGTACAATACTGAGAAATTCTCATTTTATATATAAGATGATACTTTAAGTGAAGCACAGCTTAGAATCTAACAATTGGTATAAACTGTCTAAGGGAAAGTATCCAAATAAACCAAAACATGAAACTTGAAAATGGTACAGGTATTTTTGCAGGATAGGAGTTACCATTTATCCTACATTTTAAACTGAGAAACAAAACTGATGTTGAAATCAATCATCTTTTGACTATGCAAACTGCTAGACATCTCTAACTGCAGTACGGAATTGTTCCATTATTTAGGATTTTCACAATGTGACTGAACAGATCATGGTAAACAGAGCACAGGGATAAATCCTCTGATAAGGCAGCACTATAGCAGCTCGAAAAGGGTCCTGTCCCCTTCCACCATCTCTACAATAGGTTGGAGTAAAAGCTTACTATGCTAGAGTATTATTTAGAAATAATCAATATAATTTTACAAACAAGACACCACAAATACAATACATTGAAAGAAGTGAAGAATTTAAGATGTCTACTACTGCAATGTCTACCACAAAACTACCTACGAGGTACTACTGCTACTGGAGACCAGAGGGCACAAAATATTCCTGTTGATGTTTCAAGCTTTACAAAATGTCTAATTTTCTAACTCCAGATTGCAATTGCACCTTGACAGAACAAAAACGTGTTCCCAATTTTCAGACGCAGTAAATTTCTGAATCACTGGTTGATCATGTAGATAGCGTTAAATACAGTGTGCTTTATTTCATGCCCAGCTTTAATATACTGCTTTACTCGCACGCTATTTGTTCTAATTTCTCACTATAACCATGGTAACTTGTAAGCCTTTCATATTGGCATTATGAGCAATGCATGGAGGCTACATTATGAGACAAGCCCATATGTGATGGTGTTACCATGGAAACACTTACCCACACACTAGCAGACAAAGTACACACTGTCAGACAAAGAAGCAGAAAAGAAGGGGAAAAATTAAGATAGTACCAACTGTGGAAATAATTATCCATAGAAAACCCAACCAAAAGTCAACTGACCAGCACCGTAAGGGCTAATGAGATGAAGAGAGGAACAAACCTTGGCTAGACTGGCTGTGAAGAGTACACATTCAAAGAGCTCTCCCATCCTCTGAAGAAACTCATCTACATGTGGTCGCTTCAATACATAAACCTGGAATGACAATGATTATTTAGGTCAAGTGGTGTTTAAGGTGAAAGGGAAAAAAAAACAAAACAAAACAAAACACTCCTGTAATCCTAACACTTGAAGAAACAAAAGTTAGCATGGAAGCAGTTCAAATGAAATGCTGAAAGGAAAAAAAAAAAAAAAAAGTAAGTACACAAGATAAAAGTAGACATCCAATAATGAGAAATTTGAATGCATGGGCTGCCAAGACCCATGCTGACTATGCAATTGCAAATACTGTGCATCATCTGGAGTGATGCTCCTTGAAAAATCTCATTAAAGGCAAAGAGAGCCAGTAGGGCTTCTCAAGAAGCGAGGATTCAGATCTCTCAACCGAAACTATTTTGGTGCTGGTGTCTTCAGTCCTGATAGGCTTTACAGAAGGAATAAATCTGGTGAAACCTCTATGATGACAGGAATTGCACAATAGGGAACTGTTTTCTTCCTGCGGCTAATTCTTTCATTTTTTAAATTCCAGACGCTAAGTACCGTATCTCACTACGCCTAGTTCTCAATCACCTGGCTCTGCAGACAGCTCTCACCAAAAAACTTCACAGCACCATGCAGAATGTCTAGCAAATGCTGCTTTCAAAATTCAGTGGCAAGGTCTACAGCATCTTCTACTGTGACCCTGCCATAACGATGGTAAATACTCAGCATCTCTCTCTTCTTGAGCAGCTTGGGCTCAGCAACGCTCTCTTGCCTTTTTGCACTGACAAACATACAGGCACAGCTTGCCTGCCTACTGTCAGCAACCTGATTAATAAATATTAGAGCCTCCTTGCCTCCCTTTGCAGAGCAAGCAAGATGGTCTGTGTTCACAGAAAATACCAAGAGAACTGCTGCGCAGAAAGCTTACAAGTCGTTCACAATATACTGGGAAGCTGAAGAAGGGAGTCTGCTTGAAAAATATTTATCTATCTTGTTTGCACTTAGATTAAAAGTTAGAGAAAACACTGCGGCATTTTATCATCTTTGTTTGGCAAATAATCCTTAATACTAGAAATTTCAAGTAAAGCCTGGCATATAACTGAATTCAGGAAGAATTGCAAGACTGATGCAATTTCAGGAATTTCTTTGATATGCAGAACTAGATTAATTGTATGTATTTTACTACACTCGTATTAATAAAAAGGTAAAAAACATAGGGCACCCAGAGAAAAAGCCTGCAGGAGAAAATTATGGAAATGCCAGCTTGAACTGAAGTGTAACAATTAAAGCCTTTAGCAAAAGAAGGAAAAAAGTTGCGTAATAGGGACTTGAAATTGAAAACCTAAATCTGAAAGCTAAGTGTTATTAAACACATATGATGGAACTGTACCTTAATGACCAAAGCAGAAATGTTAATTACTTTTCCACTTTACTTTATGTAGCATATAGCTCATAGCATGAAGACTTGATCTGCTTTAAGTTATTTCTATAAAGTTTAACTACACTATTTCTGGCCCTTCAAATTCAAGCAATACATTCCAACTTTGATACAGATAACAATTTATAACCCAGATTTATTTTTTTATTTTTTATACAGCTACAGCAGCACTTAACCAATTAAATAAATGTGACGTTTTATGAATTAAAGACAGTTAACAGAGGTACTTCAACACCGCCCTCTCTCCAGATAATTACAGCAAAGTTCCCTGTACTGCACTAGGCATAAACCAAGTAATTTCCTCTCCTATAACAATGCAATTAATTTTTCACTTAAATCTTACTACTCAAAGTTGCTCTGTAGTATTTCCTTTCCAAATTATATCTTCAAATTTGTAAAGGTTGCAGGGACAGTTGCAGTCCCCGCTGCATTTGGGTACCCAGAAAGAGACTATCTGACTTGCCCGTTGTAAGAGGAAAGGTAGCAGTTACTCCTTAACGCTACAGTTCATTATGAAGTTCTTAATTCTTTAGCCTTAAATTATATTCCTACACTTATTTTTGAGGGCACAAAAGGGACACCCCAGAGTCTTAAAGTCATTCTTGGATAGTAAGTGCTGGAATTTAGTATTAATTTCCCTTTTAAAACCTAGTGTTTTCAGCCACAGCAAAAGAAGTCTCCTCTTCGCTCTCCATCCCTATCTATGCCTGTGTCGGTGAAGTATTTCCACTTGGAATGTAATTACAAACTCCAAGCCAAAGATATGAACTTTGCTTCTTGCAACATAAGCCACCTCCTCCATGAAGAGGACATACAGTAAATCAGCCCAGCAGCTACGGAGCGAGAGCTCCTAACCACAGGCTTGCAGGCAGGAGCGGGCTCATAAAAGCAAGTATTTGCAACATGCACTCTTATGGCAATTTGTAGGTTTCCTAATACTGCAGCTAGTCAGTATTAGCTGCAAGTACCCAGCATTTTTAAGAGGTATTGTCTCCATCCTGCAGTTTAGATCTCCTGATCCACCACAGAACACCCTCAACCTCCTCTACTTGAGTTCCTCTTGCTGCTTTGCCTTAAATCTTACCTACTACGCTCTGGCCAACAGATTTGCTCCTCATTTTAAATACCTTATTAATAAAATAAATGCGATCTCTTTGGATAAGGTCTCATCAAATTTTCCCCTTAATTCTCTCCTCCTCTAAAAAAAACCCCCAACTCCTTCACCCCCTGCCCCCCCCCCCCTTTTTTTTTTTTTACACTGCAAGTGTACTGGTATCCTGGGCTACAAAATCTCTTTGGTTTACTTCACATAAAAAGCTTTCTTTAGCTGACACAGTGCAGTTCTTTTCTCCTCTTCCTCCTCATTTGGAATATTTTCCCCTTTACTTTGTTAGCGGCTGGACTTGCATCTCAATGCTGCATGGTTATTTGTGGCTTGGCTTTTTCCTCCGTTGCCTGATGTCTTCAGTTTAAGTCTCTAGACTAACTGGCTCCTGGCATTTTTCTGAGATTTATATACTGTCTTCAGGGCATTAAAAAAACAAGAACCCTCCAGTTTTTCTGTGTTGCATGCTCACTAATTTCTTCCTTATCACAGTAAGAATTTAGAGGAATACAGTTGTGTGTTTTTTTTTTTTTTAAATTTAAAATGAACCTTACTCTTAAAATGTTAAGGCACAAATCAGACACCAGGCATGTTTTCACAGGATTCTGTAGTTACAGCTGCTAATGGCAGAACACAAGTAATTATCTTTAATTGTTTTCAAGCATTTGGTATTTCCACATACATTTTTCTATACCTCAAAGCGGTCTTAACCTAAGAAGACTCAGTATTTGTAAACCAAAAGAGAAACCCAGCTCAATTTTAATCAATTAAATAGGACACAAAGAATTGCCTTTCAAAACCAGCTTTACAATAACGAAATCTTCAAGTAATGACAAAAAAAGCTGCCCATAACAACTCGAGCTCCTGTAATCTCCTGTTTCGTGGGCTGGGTGCATCTTCTTGAACATAACACGCGTCCTTAAGCCTCATCTTTCTGGTTCACACAGTTGTGGTTGCCTCCCAGTGCAAGTAACCAAGAATAGGCCAGCTAGAATGGATACAGCCTATCCTGGATTACTTGAACCAGGCCACAGCCTTCTGGTGAGAAAATTAACGAATTTTGTCCTTTATAGAAAGAAAGTTTATTATTTGAACAGCATCTTCCCCCACCAATAAAAACATTTTGTACATTACGTTCAAAGTATACATGCCAAACATTGCTTTAGCCTTCAACAACTAAAAATAAGCAATTGTTAACTGAATAGCAAAACCACTTAAAAACTAGTTTTACTCACTTAATAAACAAATTACCTTGAAGAATGAAATTCCAAGTAACACCAAATCAAACTCTTCCTGGCTGCCCTCTTTACTCTTTGATAGCAAGGCACAAAGGCATTGCAAGTCAATTTGGATAAAAGACAAAGGACCATCGTGCCCTAAAAATCTTTAGCCATTGGGGATTAAAGCTATATTTAAACGCACAGTTTCTAATCTGGGTGTTGTGATTGCTCTGCACTTGTTAAATGGGAAGCACGCTCCGAAAGAGAGGACGTGTACTTGCGGAAGTTATGTCAAGGGTTAGCAAACAGGTTGAACATCTTTTCTCCAGCCACTACTTTCATCCTCGATAAACTTCCTCTAAAGAGCACTCTCAGTTGCAACACATTTCACTGGACTTCCCACATTTCACTGGACTTCCCACAGTTTCTCACTTATAATTTGGTAGAGCAGGGGACAGGCTCTAATTTCCTTTTATTCAGAGAGCCAGAAAGAAATGAGAGAACTGGCCAGAAGAGTGTCAGTTTGCATTAGAACTTCTCTTTTGTATCTGCGCCATCATTTCCAACACAAAGCGTGGGATTCATCTCCGGTAACTTTAGCTGCCCTGTAGAGGGGCACAGTCCCTGCAGGCATCTAAAGACCCCTAACAGAAGGAAAGAGAGGTACCTCCACATAGGAGTTATTTCCTTGTGAAGTAGAATGACATATCCTTTCTAAAGGCAAGGTAAATTAGGCTAGAGAAAGAAACATGGGAGAGGGACTAGGGGTGTTCAGAAAAGCTAGTTTTTAATCTAGGGAAGCTGGTTTACCCAAGCACCCTGTAAGACTATGATTTGAATTGTCCTCCCTATAGACAAACAAGAGTCTCTCTGACCTTTGGATTATACGTGACATAAGGGAATTAAACTCCCCGAACTAAAGACAGCCTTTTTTGAATACCTCTGTTGCACAACAAAACATTACAACACTTACCATGAACAAAACTTGTTAGGTAAGTCAGTCTCAAAACTCTTTCAAGCATACAGCAATTGGAATTTGCCATAGCTTGTATTTTTGGTATATGAGATCTGAAGAATCTCCTAATTTCAAATGTCCTTCTGAATGGGCACTTCTGAAACGGTGTTCTCCATTTGTTTACCGTGGGGTTCTGTCCAAGGCAGAGTTCAAGTACAATGATACTCTGTCAGACAGTCTCCTGCTCGATAAGACACCAGGCTTACTGGTAAAGCAGGTAGAGATATGCACTATGGACAGTATGGATCCACAACATTTCACATACCCTGTGATATTTTAAACAGGTGGAAGTATTTCCCAATGCCAGTGGTTAATCTTTTTGAGTATACAAACAGCTTAAGAAAATGGACATGCATTATACAGACGATAAATTCTGATGGATACCAACAATTTTTGTTATCTGTTCAGTTTATGCTCTAAGTAAATAAAAAAATTACAGGTTTGAAGTAGGAAGTGGTTGTCAAAGCTCTACAGCCTGTGTTAACGCTCATCATACTAAGCCAGTATGTCTGCTTTCGCCCTTCAGATTATCCCAGTTAAATAAAAAAGACTGCTGGATGATAGTACATTACTTTGCCTGCAGAGGTATTGCAAACACAGGAACCCAAGACTTCGCCTGCATACTGTATAAATCACCTTTACTTCAAGGGTCAAAAATTCCTTACAATTAACTTCAATTGAACCACCCATCTGCAGCTGAGATTTTTACCTATTTTAGAGATTACAAACTTGAAATACAAGGGGATTAAGCAATTTCCTTGAAAATTATGCAGAAAGTCTCCAGCAAATCAGTCAGAGACTAACTTCACTTTACCTTCTCTGTCAAGAGCAGCCTTCCTCCTGTCCACGTTTTAGAGCGTGGACTAATCCACTCCCTTTGACCAGTTATTTTTCAGTTTTTTTTTCCCCCCATATGCAGTCATCTTGAGTGCCTAACTGCATTATGTTTGGTGAAGAATCTGAAAGTTTGCAGCAGGGAATGGAAAAGCAACATGCTTTTGAAGTGCTTGACTGTAAAGCCCAAATAGTCTTTTAATGGGTTTTGTTTCCAAATGTAGATATATAATCTTGACAAGCTAAGTGATCACAATCCGAAGCCATTCAAAATTGTTAGGCAACCTATTTTATTCTCTTTCAAAAGCATTCTAGAAAGTTTTAGGAGAGAAAACGTCTGTGTTACAGCACCGAACGCAATTAAAGCCCACATCAAATGAGGACAGACGATATCACAATATAAATCTCCCAAAACATCACTTACATATTTTAAGCATTCAGCTCTGGTGAACATTACAGGTTTAAGTACCGTAGACATTGAATTTTTCTACATAAAACATGCACAGTGTAAAAACTGTCAAAGCAACTAACACCTTACAACACATTTCAGTCCACTGACTGATATTTAGTAATTATTTTAAGAGTGACAATTCCATGGATGGTTTTCATAACAGGAAATCAAACAAAACTATGAACTAACTTCATGAGCTATCAATTGTTCTAAGATCAAAATACGAACATATCCATATAAAAGACGACATTTCAAAACCTGAAGTATTTAAGATCTCCATTGAATCACATGCAGGGAAGATTTGCAACTCAGTAACTGCATTATCTTTAACCTACAACAACCAATAGAGGATGTTTCAAACCATTTTAAAGATTCATATATCAGAAAGGCTCAACTTCACATTAACCAGTAAAACCTGTCTCCAGCAATAATTTTAATGTGTGTCTGAAGAGGAAAATTTATGGCACTGTAATTTATTTCATTCAGCGTTTTCAGAAATGACTACTGATTAAAGACACCAAGCTAAGAGACATGAAGGGGACTGATTTTCAAAGAATGGGTGTTTTGCATTTACTGAAAACCATTTCACAGAGTCGTAAGTGACGTTCTTAAAGAATAAGACATAAAAATTAGTCTCCTTGCAATTTTGCCCAGACCTTTTAAAGATGCTGAAGTGTATAAAAAGTCCTAGCAGAGGAAGTTAAATTACTTACAGGAAGAAAAGGGGACAGAACTTAAACACAGATTGCCACAAAAACTGAAGAAATGTCTGTTCTTCCTTAATACTTTTATAAAGCTTTGTCCATATGAACTACCAACAAACATTAAAGCCAACTTATGTCCTGTTTGTCTGTGGAGGGAATGAGAAATGCAGTATTCAGGTAGTTTTTTCTGGGCCTAGCAAAGTTTGAAAACCCATCCTTAGATAATTTCCTGTTTGAAAATGTTTTAAAATTAACAAAAAGTACTGAAGTCCCGAGAGAGATATTCTGGAGAACAGAAAACATTAAAATCAAGACTTGGTAGTTAGAAACTACGTACCTGATCAAACAGGGATGCCTGTCTGGACAATACATTCCAGAGTACACAGTTTTTATATTTTGCAAAAGGACAAGTTATTGAATGTAAAGCAGCAAACGGAGAAAGATAACGCTCTGGGACACTGAGGACAGTTCCACTACTAGAACAACGTGAAAGGAACAACAGCACTTACCTGATGTATGGTTCCATCAATTTCAACAGGAACAATGAAATCAGCATTGCTAATTGGCTAGAAAGAATGACAAGGAAATAAATCAACATTAAAAATGAGATCATTACAGGGAAAATTTCAGAGGCACAAAAGAGGAGTACTTACTTCTCAGGAACAAGTCAAAAAGCATTACTGACTATACAGACCCACTCTGTGTGTGTGCCCTTCACACACACAAGTCAGGAGCCTCACGCAGCTGTATTCACCAGATACTGCACTTCCCTCTTCTCTCCCATTTTTAAGCTTCATACAATGCAATACGCTTTACTGCTTGAATAACCCCCACTACCGTTGAGCGTGTTTACCAGGATAAATATCTATCTGGATAACTCCTTCATCAAGTCTGTGTGGACGATGACAAAGAAATTCAGCTATGTGCTTCACATCATCTACTCTGGGTCATCAAATAGTAATTGATTAAAAATAAAGACAGTGGTAAAAGTAATACCTAACTGTTACATTTGAATCAGAAGCTGCAACAAGCAAGACTTAAGTTGTATAGTTAAATGATTCTCAAGACATGATACCTCAAGAATATGCTGTTCCAATAAAATTAGTCATGTAAAACTGCATTTTAATTCAAAAGGGAAGAGCAGGCACACTCTGTCCAAGTCCTTGAATCTGTTTTTCTAGCCTGCTGCACACAACTTATTTCTTAAGACCTACCGTGACAAACTGCTGGTCAAGTAAAATTACTTTGGAAAGCAGAAACACGTCTTTGTAGACAGCTTAAGAGTACACAGTCTAATCTTGGCTAGATAGTAGTGATAGTTGGGGGATGCACAGCTGAGAATGTTTACTAGTTCAAATGGACATCAACCTTGGCAGAATCCTTTGGTACGGCTCATGCATTACGTCCGTGATAAAAAAACCCCTCGTGAACGTGCCTGGCTGACGTTTGTAACTCACTCCATGATCCGCAGCTTGGAAATGGCCGAGATACAGAGCTGCCAAATATAGTTTTAACAGGACTGATTAACAGACAATACGCTTCATGGATAACAGCCTAAAATGAAGGCTGGGAGTAGACTGGCTGGTAACTGGTATGGCATTACTAAGGCTGGAAAACATCTTCACTCGGCTCTGTCAGACTTGCACAGACTTTCCCACCTGGTTTTCTGGATCAGCCAACAGACTGATCTTAAGTACCACCAAGGAGCACATCCCTGAAGAATCTGTGAGACTAGACACAGCCTTCAAACCCATTTGGGAGGGGTGAGGAGGTGCCACGAAAGCAGAGCAGCAGCCAAGGTAAAGAGACTGAGAAGCAGATCACAAACTGGTGAGCCTAAACAGGTGCTCTGTGAAAAACAGTAGGAAAAAAGAATCCTGCGGTATTAACCTGATAGCATCACTTCGATCCCATTCCCTGGAAAAATGAGATTCTAATTCCACTGTTAAATGACCTTCCTATGAGAAGAGCAAAACAATCGTAAGAATTTATATGCAGGGCAACACCTCCTCTCAGTAGTGAAGTAATAAGGCAGATGTTTTGATCAGACATCCGCACGTGCTGCGTCAGAGGGCAAATGAGAACCTACACCGAATCTACTCGTCCTGACCAACCAGTACTGTCCACCAAACGTCCAGAGCAGCTGATGCTGGAAAATCCGTTCTGTTGATGGCCACTGCGCTAGTATGGCCTAAAGAATTCCTCAAATACCCGCAGATACAATCTAGATTTTTCTTTAGCTGACGTCAAGCAATTTCCAAGACATACCCCCCTTTCCGCCTCTGAAAAGACAGAGGGGAGGCTCCCATCTGCTATGTACATGAAGCTCCTCAGACAGAGAAGATAACTCTGCAGCACCTCTACTAGCCAGAGAACAGGCACACAAAAATGTTCTGAAGCTTCACCTTAAAAGAAACCCAAATGAACTGTCAATAAGACTCAGCCACCGAAGTTTTCAAGTGGGTGCCAGCTCCGTGCATACTTTGAAAAGACTTGCACGCACTTGAACAATTTATATATGCATGACGCCCTTAAGCAAGATAAATATTCTGTACCAGCAGAAAAAGAATAGGTCACTGCAAGTTGCAAAGGTTTTGAAGCCCACTGATAAAAGCACAGCTATTACTAAGCTTTCTTAACAGGAGCAACAGCAACCAGATGTCAGAGAAAACCACATTCTGTTTAGACAACCTAATTTTTGCTAACAAATAAAACCCACCCTTAGACTTTGTCACACTAACCAAACTACTCTTAACTACATATTTGCTTCCCCTACTTATACTTTAGGTACTACGTAGCTTTGTTGGCACAAGTGATAATAAGGAAGAGAGCGCGGACTGGGGTTCTGCACTTCATCATGATGGGAAGACAGGAGAAAAGCCTGCAACACTTTGCCGGAGAAAGATTTCTGGAGTTGCACACGTGAAGCACGTACATGCCTCAAGTGGGAACCACAGTGACAGAGCGTGAAAGAAGACAATATGTTTCCATTGAAAATCTTTGCTCCAGTTTGAACTGTTTCTATTTAATGAAAAGCTTCAGAGTTTTAAATGTTCTAAAAATGTTTCACAGCCAGTTTTGAATATGACTACATTCCAGACTTGCATGTGGTTTAATTCATTTTATACAAAACCATGTTTACATCTTCTTGATTTAATAATTTATGATTTTTGCTTCTATTATTGTTTTATGATGGGAATGATAACTATAATGTCTATCTACTCCTTTTTTACTCTTGCCAAAGCACCCCAAACTTTATTCCTTTAATATGCACTTAACATGAAAGACTAGTACCACCTTAAAGCTTCACAAATATGCAGGGGCATAAAAAGACAAGAATTACCCTCCTTCAGATGTTGCTGCTTTCATAAAAGAGCACTTTAAATACTCTGACTCTCTGGTTGTGTTAAAAAAAGTTATCTGCATTTGAAATATGAAGCCTATTTCATAACAGAATTATGAATTCTAAAATATCATACATTTTAGAGAAAGCCTTGTATACTAAAAATCACAAATTTATGTATGCTTTTACAGCTTTTAAGTGGGGACCTGCCTGGGTAGAGCAGACATGGTTTAGTGAGAAAAAAACCCACAACTAAAAGAAACTGCAAAAGTAACTTGCCTATTCGGGCAGAGCAGCGTGCATACAGGTGTTAAACCCCCTGCTCTTCTAGAAATCCATCGTTATTTTTGATGACCGCAACGGCTTTACTTCAGCTGAAGTATCTCCCTTCGTGAAACAAAATCCAAACAGCACCACTGGCCATTGCCAGCCACTGAACACGGAAGCCATTTCCTCCAACACTCGGTTTTCTCTTACACACTCCCATCACAGGGCTTCGCATTAAGATAATCCCATCATAGCCATAAGGTTCATACTGCAGAAACTCCAATATTTGCCTAACACTATTTACTTCACACAAAAAAGGACCAGTTTTCTTTTCCTAACACAAAACATTATTCAGTGTTCAAGACTGACTAGAATAATCTTTTGATTTTTCTTAAGTATCTATTTTAACATCATTTAAATACCCATTAAATATAATTTGAATAAATGGGATGATTAAAATGAGCCCACTAAGAAAGCACTCTGCAATAAAGGCAAACCTCAATCCTGCAAGAAAGGATTTATACTACATCAACCATTAAACATGTATTTCTTTAAAATGGTTTCAAAAAAATTAATAAACACATAAATTGAATCTCATTTTGTTTCAAAACCCAGAAAAATCACAGTACAAAGTTACCCACAGCATTCAGAAAACAAACTTTTATTTTTACATTTCAGATGACACTAAGCCTAATACTTCATTATTTTTATGTAAATTTAGACTTCTAAATTCAGCTTTCCCTTCCTATTTTTGACTCTCATTTAATTAGGAAGGCATGGTCCTTCCCTTCCCAATCCAGCTGTGTTTCTCGTCTCCCTGAAAAATTCTCAAGTGCAAGTTCAGTCTGGGTATAGAAGACAAGGATCTGGCACTGAGGTTAAGAGGTTCCTGTACGCCACCACAAATTGTTATATACCATTAGGCACAATAAAGACAGAGAAGAATCTTAGTTTCAGTTTGAGGCACCGGAGTATTTGTTCTAGTATCTCCATATAAGTTCTTCTTTAAGTCAACAAAGACAGGCTGTTGCCAAATTCTAACCACAACTTGAATTATGGTTTGCATATTTAAATCCTGGCAACTAAATATTGCAGGATTAAAATGTTGAGTTTATCCTAGCAGTGAAAATTGGAGTGCAACCAAAACTAGAAGACTATAAAGTTGGTGGTAACTCTAGCTTGCTACTAATAAGGAAACATACTACTGACTCTTAAAAATTCTCCAATAGCGAAGTATAAAACTAGCACATACTTTATCATGTCTGACATTTGCTAATCACAAATACTACCAGTACTCTGAGCCGATTTAGATTGGTTGTATTTCTGAATTCTCCTATTCTATCTGTAGCCCTATTTAAACAACAGAAAAATACCACCATTTCCATCACACGCTGAAATCTGAAGGGTTATAAAAGTTGCTTCTACAAGACGACCAACTCATCAGCAACAGCAAAATGCTATTTGCTTTCCTACTGAGAAAGCTAAATACTTGAAAACACTTACTGTGATCGGGATGGCAGCCTGACAACGGAAAGCAATCTCCTCCGGAAACAGAGCACAGCGATCACTGGTGCCCAAAATCTACTGGTTTCAGGTACATCTACCTAGCATAAAGCTGTGCTGAATTTCCATTCTCCCAGACTAACCATGGCATCATTTAAACATCAAAAACAAAACCTATTTTTTTAGGTTTTGCTCTATGCAAAAACATGCTCTATTTTTAGAGCAACAAGTTTTGTACCTGTTAAAATACAGGTCCTTGTTGGAATAGTTACCATTTAAAGCCATAAAGTCAATAACCATTCAAGGCCACGTTGCAGTTGGTGTGACTTTCTCAGAATCAAAAAAATAGCAATGTCTGCGTTACTCCCCTTACAGCTAAATTAGGATGAATAATCATAGGAGCAACAATGAGAACTACCAGCCATCCTGGGAGAGCCTGTAAGACTAGTTAACTGTTAAGAGGCTTAACAGTTCCTACAACATTCACTGACAGATTCAAGTTGCAAGAAATTGCTTTTGAATTTACTTACCTTAAATGAACTGTGCACTAAAGTTTCGTCTAAATCAATGACCACACACTTCTTCCCATAGTCTGATGCTGTCAGTTCTGGCAGGAGGTATTTAGCTGGTGGCTAAAAACAAAAAGAAAAGAGGAAGACAACAAAAAAAAAAAAAGTAAAACCTCTATTGAAGGGGCACTCTTCTGCCAACATTACTATTCTAGTAGTTACTGGGAACTGAAATACATGACTTGAATGTTTTTCTGGGCTCAGTGCAAGTACATGTATGGAAATTAATGGCTCATGCAATACCAATACAGACTTCTGATTTTTCTTTTTTTTTTTTTTTTAAAATGAGAGACTTGTTTAGAATGATCTCCAAAGCACTGGTAATGAAAATGGTAAAACACCACCACTAGCTAAAAAACAACAGTAAAAAAATGGGACATTTGATACAATATCTTTTCCAGTGACCCTCTTCCTAATGCCTTAGTTTTGGATGTTGTTGTTATCCTATTCATAGTCAACACCATTTCCAGCCATATCACACTGATGGACATTTACACAAATTGTTATTTCTATTTGCCATGAAAGATGCTAAAGTGGAGAAATCAATCCTGAAGGGAGACAGAATTACTGATTTTATCTTCCAGGACATGTCTCCACTCTCATTTTTACCACTTGTGAGGGTGCTGGCCAAGAGCTTTCATGTGGATTAAATTCCCAATCAAGGTCTTAAAATTGAAGTAAAGAACCTAAACCAGGCTCTTATACAGTACACCACCCTTACTAAAAAATGGTACCAGTTACATGAATTGACAATTTTTCTGAAAGCAATGCAGACAGTCACTTTCCGATCGCTCATTTCCCACTTTAACATCCCAATCTGCAATACAGTTATGTTATTTTAGACTTTGGTACTGGATACTTCCTGAAATATCAGAAATGGGAGAGAACGCTTCCATTTGGAGCTGAGACACTGCTGCTACTCGCTTCAAGAGGGGTTTTTTGATGAAGGCAAAGGACTAGCTTTACAGAAAAGTATCAATAGGGAGAAGCTCAAGACTGAGAGGAAATTAAAGTAGGTAAGAATTGGATACAGAACTCCAACTTCATTCTTTTGCTATCTTTTTATCTGTTCAACCAATGTTGGTTGAACCAACCAAAAACATGGTTTTTGTTCTTTTCAATGGCCTTCTGTAGAGGTGCTTGCAGAGATCTGAGGGTGCCAAACAGGCCAGTCGGACACCCTCCGAACACCCTCCAGCAGCAAGAACAGATTAGTAACTACTGACTGATGCCAGATGTCGTCCCAAGCTGATAGATACCAGCCAATGATGCCTAGTAAGTTCTTGTTTAAATGAACTAACTAACAAATGAGATTCTGGACTTAAATCAAAGTGTCTTTAGCTGAAGTATGTTACTGGGGATTTTAGGAGTGCTCACTGAAACCGACTTAATTCCTTACAATTAACATCAAGAACAGTTTCTCAGCTACCAAAATGGAAGCTGCCTTGCTTGTCTCAATGCATTTCCTCTCAGCACACATCTAATGATGGCCTTCCAGAAAAAGCAGCTGCTGCTTACTGCCTGTAAAGTATGTGTCCATCACAGTAACCTAACCAGA